ATCTCCCTCAAGCTGGGCCTCGTGCCCAAGCTCGAAGCCATGCATCCAATTCAGTGCGCTGAGCGCACTGTCAACCAGATCGCTCTCCCGGCGGCGCGCGCGCCACCTGGCCAGCCTCCTGCCGCCCTGCTTCGCTGGCCGCGCGGGCGCCTCCTCCCGGGGTAGCGGGATGAGGTCTCTGGTGCCCGCTGAGGGGGCCGCGGCCCCCGCTTCCACGCGTCGGGGGCCCGGGCTGGGAGCGCGCGCCCGGGCCCCCTGGTCCGTCATGGCTTCGGGGCGGAGCCGCGACCCCGGCCGCGGCCGGCGCCGCGGCCCCCGCCGCTCTCCGCCTTCTCAGCCTCGTCAACACCACCTTCGTCGTCTTCACCAGGGCCGCCCTTCAGCCAGCGGGCGCGGGCCGTGTTCAGCTCGTCCTCGTCCTTCGCTCGCTGGATTCCCCACTGTCGCAGGGCGGGAGACGCGCTGTCCAGCACGCCCGACACGCCCTCGTAGTGCCTCGCCATCCGCCATGACGGACCACCGCTGCCGCTGTAGGCGTCCACGATCGACGATATGCGGCGGCTGATGCGCTCGAAGCACTGCAAAGCCGGCATGTTCAGCTGATCGAACGTGCCACCGATGTACACAACCTCGACCAGATTCTGCAGCTCGTGGAACACCCGATCGGACTTCTCGATCCTCCTGTCCCGGCAGAAGTCCGCGAGCCACATCTTCGGGCTTCCCCCGTTCCTGGCGGTCTGATTCATCCAGTGCAGCAGCGAGGGAGGTCCTTCCACGGGTCCATCGCTCCAGGTCTCCGTGCGTGACTCCAAGCAGACCTGCCGCCATTCCTTGAAACGTTCGCCTCGGGGATCGTAGTCCACCCAGAGCGTCCTGCACTCCTCGACGGCGGCACCTTTGACATCGTCTCTGGGGGCGTCCGTGCCTTGGTCACCCGCGGCCTCATCACCAGGGGCGGCGGTCCTGACACGGGCAGACGCCATCTCCAACAGCTCTCGAGAACGCGCCTCCACCTCCGAGCGTCGCACCATCACGCACTTCACAAAGAGGCCATCCCCGTACTGCTTCATCATCACAGACTCACTGACGTGCACGTCCACGCCATCAACAGGCATCACAATGCTGCCCACTGGCTCGGGCCCCTCCAGGCGGTAGGTGATCCAGCAGTGCTCTGGCGCCGTCCGAATAGCATCGGCGGCTACCACTGCGCCGCCGCCGTCCTCACCGCCTCCCAGGGGGCCCAGCGCCGACTCCATCTCGTGAGCAGCCGCAGCTGGCCAGGGCTGCACCGCTCCGTCCACGTCCACGAAGTCTCTTGGCAGCGGTTGAGGCGTACCAGCGCTGGCCTGGGCGCGGAAATGCTCCACGGCCTTGCGAACCAGCTGGGCGTCCGTGGGGTACTCTCTGAACCGGTAGAACTTTCCTCGAAGCATTCGAGGGGCACCCCCCTCCAGCGTGAGCATGGCCAGCCTCGTCGGCCCAGGCTGGCCCCCGTCCAGAGCCTCTTCATACTCGTCGCCGTCTGGGGTCATCACGCGCCAGTTCCAGCCAGGCAGTGTCCCCAGCTCCTCAGCGCTAGAGCCTATCAGAAGCCGCTCGTGCCACAGCCCATCCTCTGGGTACTTCACCGCCACTACTTGTCCAGGCCGCAGCCTAGGCAACATACCCTCTTCTGTGCCGTTTCCGCCCGTCTCCGTTACCAGCCTCGCGTTGCGGGCCAGGGCCGCCATCACTGCGGCGGGTCCACCAGCTCCTTACTTGCAGGCCGACCGAGACAACACCTAGCGCCACGGCCCAGCCGCCGCCAGCCGAGGCCTCGCAGCTCGGGCACTCGCAGCGGCACTCCACGGGCTCGAGAGCCGGCTCGCGCCGTCCGGCGCCGCCTGGCGCCCCAGCGGGATCGTCAGGCCAGGGAGGCGCCAGCCCCCCGCGCCTGGCGCCCAGCTCCTCGAGGGCGGTCACAACCACCGACTCGAGACTGGGCGACGCCTCCAAGGCCGGCTCGGGCGAGAAGCGTCGCACCTCTGGGAGAGAAGTCAGGAGCACCAGGACCGCCCACTGCCAGTGCGCGACACCCGCGCCCAGCATGCAGGAGGTGGCCCCAATCTCCCCGGTTGATCTGTGGAGCCAAAGGCTATGGGCATAGACCAAAGAGCGACAAAGCGTGATCAACAAACATTTCTGCGCACGCACTCCCAGGAAGCTTCTTGGGCGGACTTGGAAGCATCTTGAACCCTCTTGGGCTGTCTTGGAGGCCATGCCATCCTGGCCGTCTTGGAAGCAGTTTGGAGGCCATCTTAGGCCAGCGTGGCCTTCTTCGGCCGCCTTGGACGATTGTTATGGCACGTTGTGCGCGACAACGTGGTCTTCCGGGTGGCCGTCGGGACGAGCCTAAGCCCAAGGGGAAGCTCTTTTGAAAAAGCCAAAACCAGATGTGATAAATCAACCGGGGGCGGCGGAAAGACGGCCCTGGAGCACACCAAGAGGGTTTCAAGTCGGCCCAAGGAGGCCCCCAAGACGGCTTCCGAAGGCGTCAGACGAGCCAGGAATGCCCTGAGACGGCCAGAGAGGCCCCCAAGAAACCCCCACAGGCCGCCAAGAGGCCCAAGGAGGCCCCCACGATGCCTCGGAGAGGCTCCCAGGAAGCTCCCAGGAGGCTCCAACAGTGCCCCCAGAGGCTCCAAAGATGCCATTTCCTCCTCCTCTTCCTTTTCCTCCTCCTCCTCCTGTTCCTCCTCTCCTCCTCCTCCTCCTCCTCCTCCTCCTCCTCCTCCCTTCCTCCTCCTCCTCCTCCTCCTCTTCCTCCTCCTCCTGATTTTCCCCGCCATCCTCCCCCAAGTGTTCCCCGACGGGTTTCCACAACGGTTGGGGGAACACGTCGTCGGATAGCTTGGCTGAGTTTTTGCCACAATGCTCGGCCACATGGGCGATTTCGAAAGGCAGGGGGCGGCGTTGACCCGCCGTAGGCGTCTTCGATCAGGCCCCCGCCACAATCAAAGAGGTCGGCGAATGTGGCGGAAACCTGTGACATTCCGAAAGGTGCTCTGTGAGGCCCACACAAGCTATTACCACTGCTCATCTACTGTCAGGTGAATGACCGTCTGGTCATTGGGGCAGCTCGAACAGCGAGACGGTGGGACCGGATCCCCCGAAAAACGCACGACGAAAACACCACCTCCGATCCCACTCGATTTCGCTTAAAGCCCCTTCTTTCTCAGCCCTTTCTTGCACAAGGGGGCGAGCATGACCCATATTGAAGAAGACGAGCCGGTGCCGAGGATCTATGTTGCCGCGTACACTAAGAGGCCCGAGATCCATGGGGCCGCGGGAGTTGGGAAGAGATGGGCCTCGCTCAGGTAGTGGAATGCATCTGCGAAGTCGGATGCCAGGGGCACAGACGGAAAAGCGAGAGTTATCTTCTTCTGCAGGTCATAAGCCCGCACAAACCCCAATGAGCTTGCCTGCTTCTGTCGCAGCACCCATAAAGAGGATGTCATCAGCGATGCGCTCGAGGTCGGCTGCGATGAAACGATCCTTGAAGCCAAGCGCTAAGACGATGGGCATCTTCAATCGTCGCGCCACTGCGGGTGCGGGGGGCAAAGCCCGGAGAGGCATTGATCTTTATAGTGGTATACGCCGCACGCCACTTGGCCTTCCCAAGACACGCATGAAACAACGAAGGTAGAAGGCGAAGTCAACCGGGCCAACTCAAGAGGTGCTCAGGAGCTTCTCAAACATACCACCCACCTTCTCGGCCCATAATGTAAAATGAGCAACCTGACCCTGGGCCGTGTCTTTGAACCTGGCAAGTTTCTCGTCCATAACTTTTCTGGGGGTCTGGCGGTGGGCGCCCGGCAGCTGTTCCATCGTGGCATTGGACACGACCTCAGAGGCGCCCCCAATCGCAGGCGTCTCCGCGGGGGGGGAATCGCGCGCGCGCGACAGAAGGCAATGGCTGTGCTGATGGGCGAGATCGAATGTGATCGCTCGCCGCCTGAAGCAAGCTACCTCGAGTCGGCCCTTCGGTCGCGATCAAGTCTACGGACGGTAATGAGGAGGGGGAGGGGAGGAGCATGAGCATGAGCAGGACCCTAAGACAAAGTCTTGAAGAGAAGCCCTCTCCCCTGCTCAAAAGACGGACGAGACAAGGAAGCCCCGCAGCGCTAAATATACGTAATACATGAACTGACAAACAGAGAATCCCACCAATATTGCGTGTTGCGATGTCAACCGGGACTGCGACAAACCCAATGCACACTCAGGCCCGAGAGACACAGCTTGGCAACGCTGACAGGGTTGCGACTTCACCATTATTGCAGGTCCTTCGATACACAACACGAACTGCCAGACCAAACCATACACACTAAATGCTGTGAGACGCCTCGCCCGACGGCTGCCGAACAAGGAAGAAGACGGTGAGCATGACAGCACTTTGAACGCTCAATTGATGAACGATAAGCACTAGAACTGACAGCCCACTACAACATTGGAAGCCAAGTTGGGCCCCAACCGCCACAGATACAACACACCCTCCCCAGGCGGAGATGGGAGATGCCAACATGGTAGCTGATGACGCCCGGGCACCGACACTTTCGCCCCGCCCTCAGCCGACCCACGTCCCGTCGGAAATTCCACAGCTGCGGGTAGCCCCAAGCACGCCGCGAGGAGGCGACGAGGCAGGACCCATGGCGCGTTTGGGCCAAAAGGGATCAACGCGCCTTGGGCCCAATGTGCTTGGAGGGGGAGGGGAGGAGGAAAACGAGGATGATGATGAGGAGGACAACGAACATGGCGAGGGGGAGGAGGTAGGGGAGAAGAAGGGAACAGGAGGGGAGAGGAGAGGAGGAGGGATGAGGAGGAAGCCTGGGAGGAAGAGGAGGAGGGGGGGGGGAGGATGGCGGGGAGGATGGGGAAGATGAAGAGGTCGAGGTGAAGTCGGGGAGGGCGGAGAAAGGAGGAGGCCGACTCTAAACTGTCACTTCGCTTTTGGTCGCCCCGACCCTCTTGGACAACTCGACGCCGAGCTGCCTTCCGCCATGGAGACGCTGCCACATCCGCTGCCCCCGCCCGCCCCCAACCCGTCTCCTCATCCCTCCTCCCCTCCCTTTTTGTCCCCCCTCCTCCCAGCCCCCCCCCCCAAGGAGGGGGGGGGGAGCGGAAGTGGGGGATGTGCGCTGGGGGAGAGGTGTCCCGAAGAGTCCCCTTTTCTGAGGCCGTTCGACGTCGGGGCTCACTTCGACCACCCAAGGGAAGAGGACCGAGCTTTAGGTCGGGCATGTCCCCCTACAGGCGGATTTTGGACGAAAACTTAAACATCTACAACACATGCTCAGCACATACGCAACACAGAATCGAAACATCGTCCCAAGACTATTGTTTAAGACTATTGTTGGATGTTCCTCCTGTAGTGGGGCAGGCCCGGTTTAAACCGAGCTCACCCCCGACAATGTGGTGGCCGGACGGGAGCTCGTTCGGCCGCGCGGAGCAGTCCCGATCCCGGGCATGCTCTAGCGGGCCGAAGAGGCGAAGGGCCGAACGTGCTCAGAAAAGAATATCCTCCTCATCCTCCTCCTCCTCCTCCTTCCTCCTCCTTCCCTCCTTCCTTCCTTCTTTCCTCCCTCCCTCCCTCCCTCCCTCCCTCTATCCCTCCGCCGTTCCTCCCTCCCTCCCTTCGTTCCTTCCTTCCTTCCTCCCTCCCTCTTTCCTTCCTTCCTTCATTCCTGCCGTCTTCCTTCCTTCCTTCCTTCATTCCTTCCTTCCTTCCTCCCTCCTCCTCCTCCTCCTCCTCCTCCTCTTCCTCCTCCTTCTTCTCCTCCTCCTCCTCCTCCTCCTCCTCCCCCCTCCTCCTCCCTCCTCCTCCCTCCTCCTCCTCCTCCTCTCCTCCTCCCTCGCTCCTCGCTCCTCCTCCTCCTCCTCCTCCTCCTCCTCCTCCTTCTCCTCCTCCTCCTCCTCCTCCTCCTCCTCTGCCTCCTCCGCCTCCTCCTTCTCCTCCTCCTCCTCCGCCTCCTCCTCCTCCTCCTCCTCTTCCTCCTCATCCTCTTCTTCCTCCTCCTCCTCCTCCTCCTCCTCCCTCCTCCTCCTCCCCCTGAGGCAGTGGATATGGCAATTCTCTGGCGGTGGGCGTCCTTCCGCGGTACCAGGTCCCCCGCAGCTTCTGCACCAGGCTTGACGCCAGGGAAGCATCGCGCAGGTCCACGAAGGCGAACTTGCCGTGCGGGTGCAGTCTGACCTCGAGGGATAAGACGAGGAGAGTGGGGAGTAATGAGGAGAAGGGGAGAGGGGGGGGGATGAAGGAGGGGATGTGGATGGGGAGAGGGGAGCAGAAGGAAGAATGAGCAGCAGGGGAGTGGGAATGGGAGCCTGAATCAGATCAGGAGCAACAGTATGACCGAGCGCTGCTACATAGGAACAGCAGAAAAATGAGGAAGACAAGCAGGGGAGGAGGGACTGGGGACGACGAAAACTGGGACGTGGCAGAGCAGGGTGGGCAGACGAGGAGGGAACGGGGGAAGGAGGAGCTGCAGGAGGGTGAGGGGGAGCGGGATGAGAGAGAGGCGGGGGGAACGGGTGAGGGAGGGAGGGAGGAGGTGTTGACGGAGGAGGAGGAGGAGGAGGAGGAGGAGGAGGAGGAGGAGGAGGAGGAGGAGGAGGAGGAGGAGGAGGAGGAGGAGGAGGAGGAGGAGAGGAGGAGGGAGGAGCGAGGATGGGAGGAGGAGGGAGGAGGAGAGGAGGAGGAGGAGGAGAGAGGAGGGGGAGGGGAGGAGGAGGGAGGAGGAGGAGGAGAGGGAGGAGGAGGGGGAGGAGGAGGAGGAGGAGGGGGAGGAGGAGGAGGAGAAGGAGGAGGGGGAGGAGGAGGAGGCCTCCAGCACTGGGGGGCCCTCCTCGACGTCGAAGCCAGGCAGCTGCATCGCCACCTCCGTAACCAAGGACTCCAGCGCCGCCTCGGCGGTCGCCCTGTCTGGCCCCCAGGGCTCCAGGCCGCCGATCCAGACCGAGTCGGGCCGGCTCTCGACGGCAACGTGCTGCGTGGCGAGATCGGGCGCCTGCTGGCGGTTGGCCTCCGAGAGGAAGGGGTGCCTGGGCGCCTGCCAGAGCGACGGGCACAGCTCTGGACATGCTCGTGCCGCGGAGAAGACACGGCTGGAGATTTTCGACGACGTTCGGCCTCCAGGGGCCCTCGCTGGGATGCAAGGCCTGCCCTGGGGAAAGGGTCAGGACTTGTGGGGGCCGCGAACTGAGCAAATGGGACGCCGCACGTATGGCTGCACATCCATGCCCTCGCGGGCTGGAGACCACGGTCCCGTTGATTCGCGGACGCGCGGTCCTATGGATGACGCTCCTCGTGGGGGGAACGTCCGCGCCGAGCTGCCCTGTGGTCCACGGGGACGCGGCCGAGGAGTCCGGACCGCGAGGGCGTGGATGTGGACACGCTTCCCGCCAGCGGCGCCTGCTCGGCGGTGCTCGGCCCCCAGCTCGGGAACCCCACGCCGGCGCACAGCGAGAGTGGCTCGGGGGAGCCGCCCGCGGGCAGCTGGTAGGTCAGCGGGCGGCTGATGGTCACGCGGCGGCCCAGGATGAAGAGAGACTCCAGGGCCACCGCGGTGCTCGCCAGCACCTCGTCCTCGGAGTAAGATGCGTACATTTTTTACAAGCGCAACATTCGGATTTCCGCGAGGACCTCTTGGATCGGCGCTGGACCCCCATGGCTGGCGCGCGGCACGTGCCATGGGCGGCGCCAGAGGCGCAGACATGGTGTCGAGACCGCCCCGGACTAGTCTGGGGGCCCCAGCGGCAGATGCAAGAGGTCCGCGCGGGGACCTCCGAAAGTCTGTGCTCGAGCAGCTTGCCTCTTCCTCGCGACCTGCAGGCGCACGATGGCGATGGAGCTGGAGTCCGTGCGCAGGTTCACGATCGGCCCCCCGCCCTCCGGGTCGTACTTCTCGCGGTACGCGGGCACGGCCCTGAAGAGGTCGGCGACGGCGCCCCAGACGGCAGGGCCGTCCAGGCCCCTGACGCCGCTGAGGGCCACCTCGCAGCTGGCCCTGTGCTCGAAATCCGCCTCGTCGCGGGCCTCGTCGACGACAGCGCTGAAGAAGCTGGGGTCCGCCCGTGCGTTCTTCAGCAGGTCCGGGGGCAGCTCCAAGGCAGGCGGTGCCCGGTGCGCCGCGTCTGCGAGGTGGTTGTTGGGCCAGTCGAGCTTGACGATGCGGCCGGAGGCGACCGGCACCTGCTTGATGGCGACCAGCGTGCTCGCGAGCCGCTCGTGCGCGAGATTCACGAACGTGTGCTTCCCGTCACGGTCGGTCTGCACGCTGAGGACGGGCTCGTCCAGGTCGGGGTACTGGAGCCTCACGGACGGCAGCGACAGCAGGGTGCTTCTGATGGCCTGGCACGCCTCCATGGGTGTGGCCTTGCTCGTCAGCGCCCACACCGTGCTCATCATCTGCTTGCCAGGCCCGCCGACCCACGGCAGCTTACCTGCCAGGCGAAGCGACTTCACGTCCAGGACCTCAACCTCGCCCGTGTCAATGTAGGCGGACGTCCAATTGACCTGCACGCTGCTGCCGCAAATGCGCAGTCCGCTCATCGCCACCGCGGTGCGCGCAAGAACCGGGTCTGCGAACTCGACGAACAGATACTTCGAGTCCCGCGTGCCTCCCATGCTGCGGAGATTGCCGACCTCGAGGACGGGCGATGGAAGGCCCCTGTACTTGTTCCTGTAGTACCGCAGCTGGGCGAAGTGCGCTTCGAATGCTGCTCGCACGTCGTCCTGCGTAGTGCCGGCCTTCACGCAACCGACGTAGACCTGGGGGTGGGGGGGGGCAAGAAAGTACCGATACCGCTGCTTCGCGGACCTCTCCCAGGCAGGACTCTGGGCCAACGCCAACCACGTAGCAGCGAAGGCCCCCAGGAAAATCCAAAGAAACGAAGACGGGGGAAGGGCACTAGTTCCGGCTTGACATATATATATATATATATATATACATACATACATCTGAACACATATATATATATATATATATATATACATACATTTACACATATACCTATATACTAGAACCATCGCGCGCGCTTCTCGCGCGCGATGGTTCTAGCCCAGGCCGGGGGGGCGCTGGACGATCTTGGACAACGCTATCAAGCACAGGCGCGCGACGGCATCTGAGGAGCTTCTGGGGTGTTCCGCATGCTTCGTCAACTGGCTGTTGGAGGCACCTCTTGGGTGCCTCTTGGGGGGGCGTCTGAGGGTCCCTTGGGGGCATCGGTTCTGCAATCTGCAGCCGTCATTGGCCGTCTTGGCTGCGTGGAGGCCCGACTTGAGGCCACCTGTGGCCAGATTGAGGCAATCCGGAAGCCTCCCGGGGGCCTCCTAGAAGCAGTTTGACGCATCGAGGGCACTCTTGGGCTATTTTAAAACCTCTTCGACGTCTCCTAGGGGCCTTTTGGACCCTCGGGAAGCTTTTGGGGTCCTCGTCGGACCACTTGGGGGCCTCTTGCGGCCTCCTGTGGGCCTTTTGGGGGGAACGCTCTGCTGTTGGGTCGCGTTCCCCTTCTTGGGCCTCTCTTGTGGCTCTTGGGCCCCTCTCGGGCCGTCGTGGGCGCCTCAAGCACCGTCTTGGGGCCCTCGCGGGCCGTCTTGGGGCCCTCTTGGAGGCCTCTTCCTCTATGTTCGAGCGGTATTGGAATCCTCTTGGGCCGTCTTGGAGCATCGGGATGCCAAAAGGCCGAAAAAATTAAAAACCGTCAAAGCCCAATCGTAAAACAATGAGTTGTGCCTCTTGGGGCCACCTTGGGAGATCTCTTGGAACCTCGTCGGCCCTCTTGGGAGCTTCTTGGGGGCCTCTTGGATCCGATTGGGGGTTTCTTGGGACTTCCCGAGAACCTCTCGGGGTAGAAAGCTCGGATTCTCGGTTCGTGTTTCCCTTCTTGGGCCTCTCTTGGGGCCGTCTTGGGGCCCTCTCGGGCCGTCTTGGGCGCCTCAGGCACCGCCTTGGGGCCCTCGTGGGCCGCCCAGGGCCCTCTTGGAAGCCTCTTCGGCTATCTTGGAGCTGTCTTGGAGACCTCTTCCTCCTCCTCGTCCCCCTCCTCCTCCTCCTCCCACTCCAGCTCTCTCTCCTCCTGATCTTGCTCCTCCTCCTCCTGCAGCGTGTTCCGGAAGGCTCCCGCCGGAACATGCTGTGCATAAGTGCTGTCACTGCTCCCGCCACCGTGCCCTGGGTGGTGGGTCAGAGGCCTCATGGGTGTTGGTTTGGATCTCGTGGTTGGCCTGTCGGGGACGTCGTGAAGGCAGTTTCGCAGCTTCTCGGTAGCCGTTTTGGGACCGTTGTGGGGCCTCCTCGGGGCTGTTTTGTGGCCTCTTTAGGCCTCGTTTGGGCCGCCTGGGTGCCTCTTGGGGGCCTCCTGGGGCCTCTTGGGGGCTCCTTGGGACCTCCTGGGGCACTCTTCAAGCGGGAGGGTCGAATTTTGGAATCGTGGTCCCCCTCTTGGGCGCATCTTGGGGCCGTCTTGGGGCTCTGTTGGGCTGTCTTGGACGACTCTGGGGCCGTCTTGGGGCCCTCTTGGGCCGTCTTGGGGCGCTCTGGGGGCGCTCTGGGGGCCTATTGAGCCGTCTTGGAACGTAGGACAGCCGAAAAGGCTGGAAGGCCAAAATCGTTCGAAAACCTTCGTAGAATTGACGATTTCGGCCTCTTGAAGCGCTCTGGAGAGGCGTCTTGAAGCGTCGTGGAATGCCTTGGGGGGCCTCTCGGGCCGTCTTGGGCCTATCTTGGGCGTCCTGGAGCGGTCTTTCGGCGACTCGGGGCCCGCTTGGGCCGTCTTGGGAGCCTCTGGAGGCCCTCCTGGACTATTTTGGACCTCCCCGGCCGCCCCGTCCTCCCACGGGGGGTCGGAGGCGGCGGCCTCCGAGGCCCAGGACGCGGAAACCATGTAAAAAAACAAGGAAAATGAGCCCCATGGCCCCCATGGGGGTCCGAGGTCCCAATCTGGCGGCCCCAGGTCCCGTTCCCCGGTATATGTGTGTGTATATATATATATACATATCTATATATATATATATATATATATGTATATATGTATGTATGTATGTACGTCTGTCTGTCTGTCTGTCTGTCTGTCTGTCTGTCTGTCTGTCTGTCTGTCTGTCTGTCTGTCTGTCTGTCTGTCTGTCTGTCTGTCTGTCTGTCTGTCTGTTGTCTGTCTGTCTGTCTGTCTGTCTGTCTGTCTGTCTGTCTGTCTGTCTGTCTGTATGTATGTATGTATGTATGTATGTATGTATGTATGTGTGTATGTACGTGTGTGTACACGTGTGTATATATATATATATATATATATGTGTATGCACTTACGCATCTATTAAACGTGCATATGCATGTACGTATGCATTTGTAGATATACACACATCGATGAGCATACATACATATACAGAGATGTTCGCCAGCGTGGTCGCCAAGCAACGTGCCTCTAACACTACACGCGTATATATGCACAGACACACATATATATGTATATATATACACATGCATAAATTGTGCAATAGATGTGGGCCGGTCTACGTTGTGCAACATATGTGTTGCAATCTCGGTTGTGCCATCGATGTTGTGCAATCCATGTGGGCCCATACATGTGGTGCCGTATAGGGTGTGCAATCGATGAGGTGCGGTATAGCTTGTGAACTCTATGATTAAACAGGTAGGTTGCGCACTCTACGTGGAGCAACCTATTTGGTGCAATAAAGAACAACGAATCGATGTTGTGCACTCCATGTTGCCCAATATACGCGGTGCTCTATCTGTGGTCCAATCTATGTGGTCCAATACGGGTGGCGCTATAGACAAATTGCAAATCTGCTGTGCAACCGGGCGGCAACGACGGGACGGCGACGGCGAGAAGCCGCCAGACCGCCCGCCAAGCCCACACGACGGGCGGCGAGAAAGCGGCGACGGGGCTGCGACGGCGACGACATAGCCGCCGAACCGTCAGACATGCCCAGACGACGGGCGGCGGCAAGGCAGCGACGGAGCGGCGACGAAGCGGCGACGGCGACAACATAGCCGCCATACCGCCAGACAGGCCAAAGTTACGGGCGGCGATGAGGCGGGAATGGCGTCGACGGCGACAACATAACTGCCAGACCACCAGAAATAAGAAGCCCCAAGTGCAAGCACTCCCTGTTTGGGGAATGCACACAGATAGGGCTTGGCGACCCCAATCCCCGACTTTGCATGGAGTTTCCGAACGAACCAGAAATTTGGTGCTGAACTCAGAAAAATACGACGGCGGGCGTCCATCCTCAATATGGGTATGTCCGAATGGCCCTGTGGTGAATATCAGCGTGTTCCCCCCTTTCTGAGCTGCTCATTTTTCGGGCGGAGCTCGGGGATTCGGGACAATAGACTGCGAACAGACAGAAGATGAAAAGGCGGCGGAGGAGGGAAGTCTTAGGAATTAGGATTTCGGATGCAACTCCTGGGAGGTATTTTCAAAACGGGTAGCTAAGGGCTACTCGGCCAGTTGAAAAGGCCACTGACCCGCATCAGGCCAGATGAAGCCTGCGGCTAAACCGGATCAAGCCTGAGACTAAACTGGATTAATCTGGGCTCGGTGAATTCAGGATTTAGGGTACTTTTCGACCCGGGATATTTTGGTTGACCCAAACGGGGGTCCGGCTGAAAGGGAGTGGTTCAATAGATTTGGGGCAATTGTATTGTAAACGTATTGCGCCAGAGAATTGGATTGCATTGTATTGCAACGAATCCATTGCACGCAAAAATCCAGCAATACACTTGCGCCCCAGAACGTACTGCACGCCCCTACTCCGCTGCAGCTCCACGTACCTATTGCACCAAATCTACTGCACCACCTCCTTGTAGCTGAGGCCCCGCTTGCGCCAACCAGAGATCTGCCGGCGCCGAGTCTGACTGTCACCTCACAGGCAGTGCGCCCTGAGACGGGTGAGCTCGGGGCTTTGGGGCAAGAGTAGGGGAACAACAAGTGGCATAAACATAACCACTCGGAGGTCCGCGCAGGTTTCTCGGATCGGCTCTGGACCCCTCCCTCGCGCGCCAGGGACGGCGCCGGAGGCGCCGCCGGGGGGCCCCAGCGCCGATCCGAGAAATCCGCGCGGACCTCCGAGTTGTTATGTTTATATCAATGCTTGTTCCCCTAAAGAGGTGGCCTGCGAAGCAAAAGAACAGAAGAGAGTGGATGGTAGGGCCTCGGGTTGCACTCCGACGGCCCTCCCAGGCAAGCTTGGTCTCGACGCCCTGGCTCCGGCGGCGCCCCTGGGCGCCCCGGGGTTAAGATGTTGAGACCGCCCCCAGACTTCAGTCGGGCATGTCCCCCTACAGGCCGATTTTGGATGAAAAATTAAATATACCGCAAAAATACCCTAAAATGTTCAATAATAGCCAAAAACTGGTCCCAATACTATTGTTTGATTATCTTTGAATGTCCCCCCTGTAGAGGGACAGGCCCGACTTAACCCCAGGCTGCTCGGGGACCCGTTGAGGCCAGCCAGGGCTGCTCGGGGGGGGCCTGTAGAGGCCAGCCGGGACTCTTGGTGGGGCTGTCCGCGCGCAGCCCGAAGCCCCACCAGAGGCGGGAGAGGAGGGAGGGGGAGGGCTGCGGGACTGGGGGCGCCGGAGAGCCTGCGAACAGAGATAAGAGGAGAAGGCAGGATCAGTCAGCATCGAATCGTCAAATCGGCTTGAATCTAGAATGTACATCGGATCGGGCTGCATCGGCACGGCATCGGAATCGGATCGGATCGGCTGCGCCAGGATATCCACACCAGCGCCATGTAAGCATCGGGCCGCATCGCAGCGTCGGGATATCGGAAAATCGGAACCGTATAGGGCCCTCCAGAACCGATATCGAGTCGGATCGGTCGGATCGGAATGGATCCTGGAAGGCGGAGAAGAAGGGAGGAGAGGCCTTCGGGCCATAACTCGGCTCTCCGGCGGCAACTCAGGACGATCCGGGCACCCCCGGAACGCTCTCGGCGAGACGCAGCTGCCGGAGGACATCGCGAGGCTGGAAAATCGCCAGCATCCGACGGAAGCGCCCGAAAACCTCGACCCTCGATTCCTACGATTGCGGAGGAGAAGGAAGAGGAGGAGGGAGGAGGGAGCAGGTTGACCTAGCAGGCTACCCTGTTTTCCCACTTTCTCTTCGCATATTCCTCAACCCTTTGCCTGCTGAGGTCTTCCTTCTGCTTGCTAATTCGCCTAAGTCGGACTTTCCCCTTCTTGAATACCAGCCGCAAGCTACGATCTCAGTTGATCCAAGTTTGCCTAAAACGTGAATAGAAGCCTCCAGAATAGGGTCCGAATGGATGGGGTCGGAGGATCGCGCCGCAACGACGACGCATCGGCGATAAACCGTCGACGTCGGCGATGCATCGCCGACTTCGACGTGAAGCACAACAGGATCTACATCGAGCAGCATCGAGGACGCATCGGCGATGCGGCGCGATCCGTCGATATCATTTACTCGGACCCCATGTGGGAGGCCTAGGATAAAAGGGAGGGCGGAGGAGAAAGGAGAGAGGAGGGACCGTTGAAAGAAATAACAGTGCCACAAAAGATGTAGAAGCCACTTCGCATGACCCCTCCGCACCCCGGCCTTTATATCGAACAAGCGTTCGGGAGAAATGGGGCCAGACAAAGCTTGAATGCACCACCTTCCGATGCGAAGGCCAGTGGGGGGGAGGTGGGAAGGTGGTTCGTTCAAGTTCGGGCGCTCTTGTTGCAAAATTGTCCTTCAACCGGAGATTGTGCAGGGGTCGACCGTCCTGGCATTCCTACAGACCTACTACGGAATGTTCTTAATACGACCGTCTGTTCTAAACCACAGCAGTGGTTTTAAGAACACTGAGGCCGATGTGTCGAATCAAAGCGGCCCCAGCGAGAAATGTTCCAGAAAGCACTCGCACAAGCCACTAAAAGGCTTGTAGAACATTTTCTGGTGGGCCTGCAGTCAACCCGAACAGTATGGGCAACCTTCGCAAGGGTACCCTCGCATCCTTACCACCTCGGTCCAACCTTGCCCACTTTCGTTGGCCGCGCTCAACTCGAAAAACTTCGGAATGGGCGTCCGAGGCCCTTGCATCTTTATCGCGCATCCTTCTGATACGGGCCGGCTGTATAGCTAGGCTGGGACGCCTCGCCGCTACTGGATCAACCAGAGAACCCAGACATCCGACGTAATTATTGTTTCATCACGTCGGCTTTCAGAGGTCTCGGCCCGTTCCCCGTGACCAGTTTTTCATCCTGAGTCGCTCTTTGACGGTCCCGAGACCCAGTAAGGGCCCCCAGGGGCCAAAAATCGAGACAACAACTTCCCGCGATCATTTTTTCATGACCCGAGGGGGTCTGGACGGCAGACCTGCCGCATTTTGTCGGAGGTGCCCGCCCGCAGCGCGCGGCGCGGCGAGCGCGACCGCTCCGGCCGGCCGGCTGGCGACGGGCTGGCCCGCGGGGTGGTGCTGGACGACAGCGGGCTGACCGATCGCGGGCTGGGCGGCCTCTGGGGCACCTCGCGGCGAGGGAGGGGGAGAGGAAGGCGGAGGAGGAGGAGGAGGAGGAGGATGAGGACGCGGATGATGATGATGATGATGATGATGATGATGATGATGATGATGGTGATGATGATTATGATCATGATGAGGATGATGATGATGATGATGATGATGGTGGTGATGATGATGGTGGTGATGATGACGATGCTGATGTTGATGATGATGGTGGTGACGATGATGGTGATGATGATGATCTTGAAAAGCACGGGTCGACGGAGATGATGATGATGATGCTGTTGTTGATGATGATGATGATGATGATCGTCATCATCATTACCTATGATGTCGATGGTGAAGGTAGGGATGCTAATGATGATAATGGTGCTGATCCTGTTGATGGTGAAGATAATGATGATGGTGATTATGATGGTGATGATGATGGTTGTGATGATGATGATGATGATGATGATGATGATGATGGTGGTGGTGGCGATGCTGATGATGCTGAGGATGTGGTGCTGCTGATATTGATGATGGTGGTGATGGTGATTGTGATGGTGATGATAATGGTGATTGTGATGGTGATGATGATGACGATGACGACGATGCTGAGAATGATGAGGACGATGCTAATGGGAACGGTGATGATGACGACGACGACGATGATGATGATGACGATGATGACGATGATGATGATGATGACGATGATGATGCTGCTGATGATGATGATGATGATGATGATGAGGACGACGAGGAGAAGGAGGAGGAGGAGGAGGAGGAGGCGGGCGCGGATGAGGAGGAGGAGGAGGAGGAGGAAGAGGAGGAGGGCATCCTCCGCCTTGCAGGCTGGGCGGCCTCTGGGACACCTGGCAAGCTCGGCGGGGGGAGGGTCAGAGGCAGCGATCAGTGGTGAGACTACGAAGACGAAGCCAGGACGAGGATAAGATCGGGTGAGGATAAATCGCGAATCTCTGAGTCAGCGACTCCGGAGGATGTCTCGAAGGCCGCGGCCTTCTCAGAGCGTTCCGGAACGCTCTCAGAGCGTTCCGGAACTCTCTGGAACGAATTGATCCTCGTCCTGGCCCCGTCCGAACAAGGGAGGGGAATACCGTCGGACCCATGACAGAAGAGTACCCTTCAAGAACATGAGACCCTCCGCCAGCCGAAACACCCCAAACCAGAAGATCGCCGAGTGTGCCCTCCCCCAGGAGGCACAATAACATCCAAGAAAGACGAAAAGCATTTGGGTTAGGTCGGGCATGTCCCCCTATAGGCGGATTGTTGACGAAAAATAAACATAGTTAAAAGCAGTTGCCAGAAGCAGTCAAAAATAGTAACAAAAAATCGCCCCCAGACTATATTCTCACTATTTTTGAATATTCCTCCTGTAGAAGGACACGCCCGACTTAACATAGGGCACCCTCCCCGAACCGACCTCGATCTTATCCCTCGGCCCGGCCGCGGGCTCAGGGGGCGGGGGGGGGATGTCGAGCTGGAGTCGACGAGACACTGCTGATAGGGGCCTGATAGCCCACCATGCCCGGGAACGTGCTGAAACGCAGAGCATCCACCCTCATCATAAGCAGCCCGATGAGCGAAGCCGTTCAGGAAACGCACCCAGTGAAGGAATCGAACAGGGCAATACTGTTCAGTAAGCACCCAGGGCCGTTCAGGAAGCGTCACTTGCTCGGGGTGATTCTTCCTCCCCTGCTGACAGCCCACCCTGCCCAAGAATGGGGACACCAAAAAGCACCGATACCGCTACTCCCCGGACCTCTCCTGGAGCGCGTTCTGACCAGGATTTCGAGGCGGATCCACCGGTGGCGACGAGGGCCACCCCGGAGGCCCAATAACGGGGAACACGGGCGAAGGGTAGCCGTATGGGTACCTCGCTTCCTCCTCGGAGATGCACGGCCTTGACAGCAGAGCGGTCTCGCGCGCGAGACGGCGGCGGTGAGGCCGCCGAGGCTGCTGCGGACGCGCCCCTGCTGCGACGCGGGCGCGGGCGACGCCCCGGGTCAGTCTGGAGTCCTGAGACGGTGCGGTGACAGACCGTGCGGTGACCTCGAAATCCCCCAAGACCTCACCGCGCGGTCCGTCAACGCACGGCTTTGGGACCTCGGATGCCCCTGTCGCCCGAGACGCCCTCGGAGCACGGCCCGAGTCCCAAAACCGTGCGGGGACCCCGAGGCAGGCGCCGCGCCGCGGCACCGCACTGAGAAATGGCCGGACCGCCGGGGCCGCGCTGCAGGCGCGCGGCGTGCCTCCGATGCGGACCACGCGCGGGCTGTGCGCCCCCCCTTCGCGCCGTGGCTCGAGGCTCCAGGCTCGGCGTGCCGCGTGTTGCTTTCGGCCGGCGCCTCGAGGCGGCCAGTCGTCGCACACTCGAGCGGGGTGGCACAGCGAGCCATGCAATGATCAGAGTAGCATTCCTCGTGTTCTTCTTGGTTATCAACTCCTCCTTCAGTTCAGCAGGGGCCGACCGTCCCGGCATTCCTATAGGCCTACCGCGAAATGTTCTTCGAACCTGGAATATGTGCGATGAACAAAAATAATGCTCTTAGAACATACAAGCCGATATGTTAAAACAAGACAGTCTCAGCCAGACATGTTGAGGAGAAGCTGGTCCAGGGGAAGGGGTCCAGACTTATGTTCCTCCCATCGTACTTGAGGACCACACCCCAGAAACAATTTCGAGCATTCAGAAAGGTATCGAAGCAGTGTCGAACGAGTGTCGCCTCCCAGGGCGCGACACGCAAAAACCCTCCAGATTCGGTGCTTTCGTGGTGCTCGAAATCCTTTCTGATGCTCAAAGCTCAGGTTGGAGCATCATGCGTCCAGACCTCCATGGGATCGGCGTTCTGGAACAATCATGGCGTCGGGGATGGCGTCGGGGGTCCGAACAAGGCAGGAGGAGGAGGAGGAGGAGGAGGAGGAGGAGGAGGAGGAGGAGGGGGACCATCACATGCTGAAAAGGAAGGCTAGGGTTAGGCCGACCCGACCCTAACCGAAACCTTGGGATTACATCCGTTCTCCCCTTACGCCCTTCTTCGACCCTACATCGCCGCCCCTTCCTTGAGGAGCTGGGCTGCAGGGAAGGGCTGGGAAAGTCGGGGGCGGGCCTTCATACTGTCCTTCGGATGACGGCCGCCTGACACCCGAGACCACGCACCTTCAGAGAACTTGCTGGGGGAGGAGGGGGAGGGGGAGGAGGGGGAGGAGGAGGAGGAGGAGGAGGGGGAGTAGGAGGAGGAGGGGGGGGAGGAGGAGGAGGAGGAGGAGGAGGAGGAGGAGGAGGAGGAGGAGGAGCAGGGGGAGGAGGCGAGGAGAGGAGGAGGAGGAGGAGGAGGGAGGAGGAGGAAGGAGGAGGAGGAGAGAAGGAGGAGGGGGAGTAGGAGGAGGAGGGGAGGAGGAGGAGGAGGAGGAGGAGGAGGAGGAGGAGGAGGAGGAGCAGGGGAGGAGGACGAGGAGGAGGAGGAGGAGGAGGAGAAGGAGGAGGAGGAGGAGGAAGGAGGAGGAGGAGGAGGAGGAGGGGAGGAGAGAGGGGAGGAGGTGGGAGGAGGGGGGGGAGGGGAGGAGGGGAGGGGGAGGAGAGGAGGAGGAGGGGGAGTAGGAGGAGGAGGAGGGGAGAGGAGGGGGAGGAGGGACAAGCTAGGTGCGCTCGCGTCAACATCTGACATCCTACCCCTCCCTCCCATCCCTTCCCATTGAGCTACTTCATTGTCCTCTCACCGAATCGGGCTTCGCATCTGACCCTGTTACCTAAGAGGGAAAGGTGGAGGACGACGGCGCGATGAAAACGAAGACGACGACGACGAAGACGACGACGACGACGACAACCACGACGACGACGACGACGGCGGCGACGACGACGACGACGACGATGAGGACGACCGGCGACGAAGACGGGACGCCGCCCAAAAGGGGGGGGGCTTTCTGCGGCCCCAAAAATCAACGAATCGACACCGGATGTGTAATCACCTCCAATGTTTTTGCCGGGGATCATTTTCTAGATTTGGGGCTTCTTAAAAAGAATCGAAAACGTCGGCGCTGCAGCGGGAGCACGTTTTGGAACAACGAGAGGCGCAGAAATTGGGCCAGCGCTGCAGCGGGAGCACGATTCGGAACGAGCGGGAGCGCGGAAATGAGGCCAGCGCTGCAGCGGGAACACGATTCGGAAGGAGCGGGAGCCCGAAAATTAGGCCAGCGCCTCAGCGAGAGCAGCATTTTAGAAAAAAACACAAGCGAAAACCCAACTCCGGGGAATCCTGTGTGTAAAAAAACAGTACGCGGGGGGGTGCCGAATATCTTCCGGACGCCATCAGGGGAAGTGGGAGAGTAGTATTCATATTGTGTAATTGTGGAGGGGAGCGGGAAAATCATGGGCAGTGCCCTCGAGGGGCCGGATGCCCTGCGGCAGCGGGCCCGGGCGGAGTGGATGAGGACGCGCGGGCGGCCGCCAGGCGCGGGCGGAGTGGCGCACGCGGGGGCACGATGCACCAGCTGATGTTAGGTCGGGCATGTCCTCCTGGAGGGAGATTCTGGACGAAAATCAGAAATACGCAGTCAACAGGCATTGAGCAATATCATCATTATCAGGGGGACGTAAGACCTGGGTACAGGGGACTCGGAAATCCCCGACGAGCTCGTCAAAAAAATGACGAGGCCGATCCTGCATTTTGACGAGGCCTCCCGCTGCAGACATCCCACGAAACTCCTCCTCGTGAAAATCCGAGGCGCGGTCGTCAAAAAACGATGGCGAACCCGAGTCCTGGCAAACCCGGGTCTTACGCTCCCCCGACTGGAGGGAGATTCTGGACGAAAATCAGAAATACGCAGTCAACAGGCATTGAGCAATATCATCATTAGTAGAAGCGAAAAAAACTCGTCCCCTAACTGTTTGTTTGCCTGTTTATAGATACTCCTCCGGTAGAGGGGCACGCCCGACTTACGACTGATTGCCACGGGCGGCTCTGCTGCTGGATTCGCGGCGGGGGCAGCGTGGAACCCGAGCTGG